AGAACTAACTACCGTTCCAGTATTTTTTTTTAGCTTTAGTTACCCATCATCATTTTCTATTCCTGTCACCGTTCTCTTTTTCAATTCAGCAATAAACGTTCATGTAGACAGAAGTCTGTGGCAGATATCTTACCAACGTTTATCATATGTTACCACTTGTTACCAATTTCTATGAAACAGCTTCCTTCAGCTATAACGGTCATACTCTATAAACAGGAAAGTAGTTGCTGTTAACACCGATCATCGTTGATACTCTAATCCACCTAAGCCAACGAGCAACTGCAGAATTGTTTCCCATCTTTAACAAGGATAAAGAGACGCATTAAGGTGCTCTTCCCTTTCAAACCTCCTATCAGAACTTATCATTTATGATCACGTTCTATTGCTTAATACAATTCTCCTTGTTTCATCCAACAATAATTATGTCTCATCCAGCATATTTTCAACAAATTATGAAGCGACGGACTGCTTAATGCTTCCTTCCTGACAATCATTATCAGCTCTATCAACCACTTAAACTTCTATCAAGCACCATGTTGAATCCGCTCATTCAAAGTGATCCTCTTGTTATAAACCATTACCCACCATTCCTACCCTACCCTAGCAATGCTCAGGTTTGTCTACTAGTACATATGTAGTGATTCGAGACGGCCCTAGCGGCCCGGCACCCTCTCATCATCGTCAGTCTTTATCAGTGATCAACGCTTTCGGATCTCTTCACCTGATCTCACATCCTATAGGACATAAGTGTCAAGGCTTCTAAGGATTTATAGAAATAACCTGACGACTTCAGGGATTCCTGCATTTATCCCTAATTCTTTTCCATCAACGCTCTTTCACTCCTGCAATTTAATCCTACCACCATCCACCAATAGCTCCACACCATTGTCACCGTCCTTTCCCGATTGGACTGTATCCAGGGAAGTCAAGCACTTCTGGGCAAATATGAGATACATGAGAAGATGGATATCAGAGCTTCTTTCGAAATTAAGGCAGTTTCTCCCCATGGGTACGAAGGGTTGTTCCAAGAGTTTCGAGAAGCCTGTTCAAGTTTGCCAACGCGCTGAAGTTAAACGCTTCAGCCTTCTCGGAAGTAAAACCCCTAGTACCTATACTCCTTTGTCACGGATGTTGTCCTCGTAACGCTACATCGTCCGATATTTTGTCCCAGAAGTCCTTGAAATTATCAGACACATACGTCATACGATGGATTTGAATGTTATAAGACAAAAGAGCAGGTATGTTACCCCCATTCCATTCTCATATGGGACACGCGACAACCTGATTACCCGTTGCTAAGGCTTCCCTGGGGCAGTAGTATCGATTGCCGTCAACTGTAATAAACTCTCAGTTTCTAGTGCTGCAAACTGGCTTGACCTAATCTACTCATTCCCCATGCCACATCGTCCATCCTATTGTTTACTATGTATGAACGACTTGTTTTCTTTCGTTGTTTACAGCACAACAAGCTTGACCAGTCGAAAAGTTGCCCAAATCAGAATGGACACGCAAAACGCCTACCGTTTTTCTCATCCACCTTTTCTACTGTTTCATTTACAACTTCTACCCCTCACTTAACTGTTCAGAAGTAACGAAGTATGAAAATGAAATCAATAGCCCTCCTAGTTACTTCTCACTCCTCATTAACTGGCGAAATCCCGAGAACCACGGGCTTCTTACCGTAGTTTTGCGCCAATAAGAATTCGAGGCCGCGGCCTATACGAGGCACTAGGCGGGCACTACTTTTCGGGAAGCCACAGATGGACCCTCTGGAGGTCCTTCTTTTCCCAGTCAACCCCTATCTTTTTTTCTTTAAATTTTGCTTCGCATTTAACATAGTTGCTTTCAACTTGCTTTAGTTTGCTTATATTTTTCTCAGATTACTCTAATTTTTGTAGGTAATTAATTAAGCAGTAATGAGAGTACAAAGTAAAGCACTTAGGGCGTATCGCACTTTGAAATATTACCCTCTTTC